CAACATCAATACCTTTACAGAAAGCAGCAGTTAGCCTGAGCCTACAGATGACAACTTACAATTTTCTTCACATTCATTGGGTGTGGACAACAATCAGTTTCTGTTCTACATATGTTCCAACATGGGAAACTGGGTCATTCATTGGAAATTTTTTTTTATTTAAACACCATCGTCATCATGCACCTCGCTGAGTGGCACATGCAATAATGTCCCTCGAAAAACATCCGACCTCCATAGTCTTATAACCTCCGCGATTGTCTTCAGCTACCTGTGTGGGTTCCGGGGTAAGGGGGGAGGGGAGGGGAGGAACAAATCCCCTCACCCCCACAAGAATTGTTGTAAAGGACAATTTATTAGTTGTTTCCTTCAAAGTCAGAGCACAATATGCCTGGAGGCCAGGAAGCAACAGTCTGCATACAAATAAGCCAGATCTGTAAAACGGATATACATGCAAACTCAAATTCTGGGAATAGGCTTAAGTCTATAAGTGGACGAACACCTAGAACTTTCCACTCGGAGTTGACAGCCAGTCAATGCTAAGAAAGAGAAGGGAGAATGTTATCGCCATATTAACAGCAAAATGATTTGGAAACAAAGTACTGGAAGGTATGGCTCCTGGTAAAAGGGGCAGGGGTGGACTAACAAGATGGTGGAGACAGGATAACAAAGACCCGCTGGGCATAAGGGTTGATGAGGCGGGAAAGTTGGCCAGGAAAAGACTGACTTTCTGGCATGCTGTCATGACAGTGATGTCCTGCACAAGACCTGCTACATGACAGTGATGTCCTGCACAGGACCTGCTACATGACAGTGACGTCCTGCACAGGACCTGCTACATGACAGTGATGTCCTGCACAGGACCTGCTACATGACAGTGACGTCCTGCACAGGACCTGCTACATGACAGTGACGTCCCGCACAGGACCTGCTACATGACGGTGATGTCCTGCACAGGACCTGCTACATGACAGTGATGTCCTGCACAAGACAGTGACGTCCTGCACAGGACCTGCTACATGACAGTGACATCCTGCACAAGACCTGCTACATGACAGTGAAGTCCTGCACAGGACCTGCTACAGACAGTGCGTCAACTGCACCAGGACCTGCTACATGACAGTGATGTCCTGCACAGGACCCGCTACATGACAGTGATGTCCTGCACAGGACCTGCTACATGACAGTGATGTCCTGCACAAGACCTGCTACATGACAGTGATGTCCTGCACAGGACCTGCTACATGACAGTGATGTCCTGCACATCACCTGCTACTGACAGTGACGTCCTGCACGGGACCCTGCTACATGGACATTTTTGCTGTCCTGCACAGGACCTGCTACATGACTAGTGATGTCATGCAACATGACCTTCTACATGACAGTGACGTCCTGCACAGGACCTGCTACATGACAGTGATGTCCTGCACAGGACCTGCTACATGACAGTGATGTCCTGCACAGGACCTGCTACATGACAGTGATGTCCTGCACAGGACCTGCTACATGACAGTGATGTCCTGCACAGGACCTGCTACATGACAGTGATGTCCTGCACAGGACCTGCTACATGACAGTGACGTCCTGCACAGGACCTGCTACATGACAGTGATGTCCTGCACAGGACCTGCTACATGACAGTGACGTCCTGCTACATGACAGTGATGTCCTGCACAGGACCTGCTACATGACAATGATGTCCTGCACAGGACCTGCTACATGACAGTGATGTCCTGCACAGGACCTGCTACATGACAATGATGTCCATGCACAGGACCTGCTACATGACAGTGATGTCCTGCACAGGACCTGCTACATGACAATGAATGTACAAGGACCTGCTAATGACAGTGTGGTCCTGCACAGGACCTGCTACATGACAATGATGTCCTGCACAGGACCTGCTACATGACAATGATGTCCTGCACAGGACCTGCTACATGACAATGATGTCTTCCCGTGGTGGTGGATTTCTACTATTCTGCACACATGTCCAAACCATCGCAGTTGTGACTGATCCACCGGCCATCACATACTGTCTGACTGTGAACTTTGTCCCTTCTTGTCACTTGGGCTACCTTTCTCAGAAATCTCATTTCTGAGGCCCATAGCTGACTTGTGTGAGTTGTCACTGAACTCTATTTTTGTACACACAGGGCCCAACACTCACAGGACCACTGTAATGGCAGAACAACTCACAGGACCACTGTAATGGCAGAACAACTTACAGGACCACTGTAATGGCAGAACAACTTACAGGACCACTGTAATGGCAGAACACCTCACAGGCCACTGTCATGGCAAAACAACTCACCGGACCACTGTAATGGCAGAACAACTTACAGGACCACTGTAATGGCAGAACAACTCACAGGACCACTGTAATGGCAGAACAACTTACAGGACCACTGTAATGGCAGAACAACTCACAGGACCACTGTAATGGCAGAACAACTCACAGGACCACTGTAATGGCAGAACAACTTATAGGACCACTGTAATGGCAGAACAACTCACAGGACCACTGTAATGGCAGAACAACTCACAGGACCACTGTAATGGCAGAACAACTTATAGGACCACTGTAATGGCAGAACAACTTACAGGACCACTGTAATGGCAGAAGACAACATCCTGAACTTCTTTCTTTCATCACTCAATGGAGCATAGGCCCTCAACCAACTGATGCAGTTGATCCAAACCTATTTGTTTCTGTCTCGACGTGCATTTTTCTTTTGTCATTTTAATTCACCCCTGATCTCCAAGAACATTCTTACAACAGTATCAGCTGTTGATGACCTTTGAACCTGACCCCTCCTTTTTCAAGTTCAATAATCTGCATGTTTGTTCCATCAAGAAACTTCCCAGTGTCTCCCCCCCCCCCCAATCATGTGACAGGTGGCCACCAATGAAAGGTTTTCCTCAGAACTTGGAGTGCACTTGCCTGAGAGATCAAGAAGCAACTGTCTGAATATGAATCAGCACATTTGTAAAACAGATGTGCACACAAGACTCCAGTTCTGCAACTGATTTTCTGATAAAATAAATAAACCAATAAGCTTATTTTTATGATTGGACTCACCTTGAAATGCAAAATAACATATAACAAATGCTTGCATTCAAAAGAGATCGTTTAATACAATAAATAGGATCAAATAAAACAGCAATTGTGTGCATTCCAACCATCATTTCTGGATAAATGACTTCCGTGTGTTGTTAGTTTCAGGTACTGTCACCAAAGACTAGCTTAATGACTGACAATATCTCAACATCTTGTGACATATCAATACAATGTTAGCAATATCAAGGTATAATAACAACTTTCCTATGTTTGCAATAACTCTTAGTATTTCAATAACTCTTTTAATATAATTTCATCAATGTATAAGAACAATCTTCACACAAGTTATTTATGTCCTTTAATACCATGTAGTTCTTATGAAACAACAGCCCATTTTAAGTGGCTTGTCATTATAAAAATCGTTAGCATATTTGATTTCATCATTTTGCAGGTCCCTTGTAGAAATTCTTTCTCATCATGGTATGTGGAACCTCACATCCCCCCACCGCCACTTTCAGCCACTTGCTGATGTCCTGGTCTTCTGTACTTTTATGATACAACAACAACAAATGTGAAGCAGGGAAACATCTTTAATACATCTAACACACAGCATGACATGACATGACATGACATGAGCTAACACAACGGATGGGGCAGTCAACTAGCAGCAAACACTACACGGTCACATGTAGCACATACCATGCTGCCCCCACAAACAGTTTAATATCTCAGAACAATGAGCAGTCCAGCAAATGGCTATCACATGAGAATAAAGTCTTCCAGTCAGTTTATAAAATGATTGTAATATCTCAGGAAGAACTAGGAATCGAACAAATGGTTCCCAGAACAGAACAAAGAGTTCTGTCTCATTTCTACAGAAAACTGTCTTGACTACCTGTAATGACCTTCTCTCTGTTAGTACAGTGTGTGTGTGTGTGGAAAGGGGGGGGGGGTGAGGAGAGTCCAAGGACTGAAGACCACCTGACGAGTGCAGCTGCCAGGAACTTTGAAGGTTAGGATTCTGTCCTCAAACCTGGGTCTCCCTCGTGACAGGCCAGAACTTGAATCACTTGGCCAGTCGCTGCTACCAAGTTCATAAATACCCAAATCATTTGCATCCAAGTGCACATTCAGCATTGGCTGTGACTCAGTCATTTCCCCTCCTGCTACTTCTCATGATGGCTGTCTAAACTCGGCCTAGCCTCACAATATAAGGACTCATTATTTTCAGAACTGACTGGGAAACCTCCTGGGAAGGCAAGGTGACCACCACCTTATCATTATGCTAGGGCCTAGACTTTGTGAAGAGGCAACAATTGACACCCAAATGGGACCAACTTGTATGGCCCCAACTTGACTGTACATGTAAGCTGCAAACATATGCCATGCTATAACGTATGTTACAAATGCATTTCTTGGTTTCCTGATGACCCCAGTTGTTAGAAGTTCTGTTGTCTTGTCTGTTGAGTTTTCTAGTCTGTGTTGTATTTAGTACTCCGTTGATAAAGACTTGTGGTAGAAACATTCCACAGAATTTGTGCGCCTCTTTTCTGCTCCTCCTGAGTATTCTAGTCACATTTTATGTTGCATTTAGTCCTGACGGTCATGTTACTATTTTAACTCCTGATATACACACGTCTACAGTCTGTAAATTGATAATTCATTCATTTTTAATTGTCTGAATTCAATTATAAGTCAAAATATTTGCAATTTCATTTTCTCAACATAAACCAAAACAATGTCAGTCCCGATATTGAGCTCATCAATATCAACATCAGAGAAAAATCGATATTTGTATTCCCAATGTTGTCAAACTCCTTTGTTAACTGTTTCTAGTTGTAAGTTATACACAGACTCAGTAAGAATCAATAACAACCAGAAAAAAATAAACACTTAATTCAAGATATACAAACAGTGATGGTGTGGGGGTGAGAACCTGGTCTCACTGCCACAAGTTTGTGGATAATGTTTGTCCCGGACCCGGCTGGCCCCAGCCACCGGCACCTGCTGTCTGTTGGGGTACTGCACCCATCTGAGACCCGCCCAGCTTGAGGGAGGTCATCTGCTGCTGCATCTGATAGCCAAGCAGGAAGAAATGGTAACTTTAATAACAGAGAAAGTGAATATCTACAAACTTGAGAAAGTGAATATCTACAAACTTGAGAAAATGAATATCACAAGTTGAAAAAAAAAAAAAAGATTCATGAAAATGTGAGCGTACACTCGTGTGAATGTGTGTGTGGATATGAATACTGGACAATAAGCTACTTAAATGGTGAAGAAACATGAGGTAGCAAAGATGTAGCTGGTCAACATGAGGTAGCAAAGATGTAGCTGGTCAACATGAGGTAGCAAAGATGTAGCTGGTCAACATGAGGTAGCAAAGATGTAGCTGGTCAACATGAGGTAGCCAAAGATGCTGGACAACATTGGTAGCCAAAAGATGTAGCTGGACAACATGAGGTAGCAAAGATGTAGCTGGTCAACATGAGCAAGATGTAGCTGGTCAAAGATGTAGTAGATGTGGGACAACATGAGGTAGCAAAGATGTAGCTGGACAACATGAGGTAGCAAAGATGTAGCTGGTCAACATGAGGTAGCAAAGATGTAGCTGGTCAACATGAGGTAGCAAAGATGTAGCTGGTCAACATGAGGTAGCAAAGATGTAGCTGGTCAACATGAGGTAGCAAAGATGTAGCTGGTCAACATGAGGTAGCAAAGATGTAGCTGGTCAACATGAGGTAGCAAAGATGTAGCTGGTCAACATGAGGTAGCAAAGATGTAGCTGGTCAACATGATGCTGACAACACTGTTCTTCTAGTCCTATTTGCCGCCCACCTGTTAAACTCTCCCACATTCATCTTTATTTGCCTTCCTCCTCTTTCTCACATTCATCTCCGCTTCTCCTCCTTCCCCCTTGCTTACTACTGTTTCCATGCAGACCAATTTCTGTTATTGTAAATGTTCTTGGTATGAGTGACCCTGTCAGGTCAGCAGCTCTCCACACTTCTCCATCTACAGACTGTCAGCTGTCATGTTTTCCTGTGGTCACCACTTTATAGGGCCATGTATCACAGAGGGTTTTCAGCTGGGGCCCTATTAGTCAGCCTCGTTACCACATTTCCAGGTGACTTCCCCTCTCCAGATAGAAAAAATATGTTCAAAACTGATCAAGGAGTTCAGCCTGTGGTTCTCAACTGAGAGACTAACAGCTGCTCACCATTCTCCTCAACAACAACAACAACAACACAACAACAACAACAACGCCATGTCTTCAGTTTCTTCAGGTCTTCTGATTTCAACGTGGCAACAAGCAGTGGTGAAAATATAGGGGTGACTGCAGTCAAGCTAATAACAAGAATTCCAGTGACATCTGACTACAAATAAAAAGTTTAAAGAAACTGGCAAGCAGAAAAACGTCCACAATACAATGTTTTGGCCAGTGGCCTTTCTGGAACAAGTAATGAACTATACAAAGGTACCAAAGATAAGAGTATTCAAATCTCTAAAAGGTGACATGAGCAACTTTAAAAAAAAAATGTGATGTGGAGTGAATGAAATAAAATAAAATGATCAAAGGCTAAAAAAATAGACGCAAAATAATAAAAGTACTACTGTTAACATATAATTTAATAGTAGGAATTAAAGAGTAATGTTAATGATAAACAAATGGATTCTGTCTGACCACAGACAGCAGTAACCATCTAAACCAAGAAGACAATAAATAGAAGTGTCGTCTAATACAAAGTGATGACCCCAACAAAGATATGCCCTCAACCACAGAAAGTAGTAACAATCTAAACCAAGTAGAAAACAAACATAAGTCTTGTCTAACACAGAGAGTGTGACGACCCCAACAAAGATATGCCTTCAACCAGACAGTATAACGACGACCCCAACAAAGATATGCCCTCAACCACAGACAGTATAATGACGACCCCAACAAAGATATGCCCTCAACCACAGACAGTATAATAATGACCCCAACAAAGATATGTCCTCAACCACAGACAGTATAATGACCCCAACAAAGATATTTCCCCAACCACAGACAGTATAATGATGACCCAACAAAGATATTTCCCCAACCACAGACAGTATAATGATGATGCCAGCAAGAAGGCAGACACAAGTGTACCTGCTGGAACTGCAACTGCTGCATCTGCTGCGGTGAGTACATGGCTGCATTTGCTCCCAGTATCGAACTATTGTACATGGCCACCTGTGCAACAATAGAACACACATGAACCACACGTGTATCAGCTTCCTGCATCTAATCAAATGAAGAACATTTGATGTAAGAAATCCAAGTCACTGGAGGTTTGGATCAGAATTCTCACATGCCGTATAGTGCTAGTTTGTCCTGTGGGAGTTGCAGGCCCCCCTTGTAGGGAAAACAAGAACAGACTCATTACCTCCTTAACAAGCATGTCAAAGGAGACCACTAAGTTGGGGCATCCCTCAAAGACAGAGAGCACCTCCTCCTCTTCCTGAGAGGCAAGCAACCAAGAGTCAGCTGAACAATCAGCCAGATCTGTGAAATAGATCAGCATGCATCTCTCAGGTTCTGGAACAAGATGCAAGGGGGGAGAACACTGGGAACTTTTGGCCGCAGTCTAAACCTGGTCAATGGGAAGACACAGATATAATATCAGTTGAAACACACAGCTGTGAAGTCAGAACAATTAATAAACAAGTCAAACACCTTCTTGAGGCCTCGGAGATATGGTTTTACACAAGAATCTGATTCCTTGGACGGCTAAAAACAGTAATGCAGATGTTTTCAAAGAGGCGAAGACTTGAAGACAACTTATCACAAACTTCAGAAAGAGAGTTGTTATTTTTTGGTTATGTTATGAGAAGAAGGAAACCAGAGCATACTGCGACCACACGAAAGATCTGTGAAAAATAAAAATACAAAGACAATGCGAGACTGGCATGGAGGGGTTCCAAACACAAACTGATACATGCTGCTGAAGATCATAGATTATTCACGTTGACAAGGCACTTGGCGATGATCATTCCGTGTGGGTTTTGACGCCCCTTAACAAGCATATTGTATAAGGAGACTAATGATATGTTTTTCCTTCAAAGTGCATCAACCTGGAAGGCAAGGAACCAACAATCTGCATACACATTAGTCAGATCTGTAAAAACGACTGTGCATATAAAGCTCAAGTTCTGAAAGAACAAGACTACAGTCTAGAAGTGGTCAAACAACCAGAACTTTCCACAGGAGTTTACAGTCAGTGAAGAAAAATAATCAGCTGACTGCAGCTGGACGGTAACACAAGAAACAACTATCTGGATAAACAAGCAACTTCCTTACTTGTTGTGGATTCATGGCAGGATTTCCCATCATGCCTTGAGGCTGTCCCATCATGCCTTGAGGCTGTCCCATCATGCCCTGCAAACACAATATATGTTTTAGAGAACAACCTTTCCAATGATTGATGACAATGCCAAGATGATGTCAAGTCCATATATGAATACATATTTATACACATACTAATGACAAACAAATTAATAGCATATGAGATCCTGTGTTAAGTTAAGAACTGACATCACAGCACTGGGAACATTCACATAAGCTCACGGGCTGGTGTCTCCCAGTGTATCTGTGTGTTTGTGTCTCTGTGTGTCTGCATTTGTGTGTATGCCAGTTTGTGTGTGTGTGTGTGTGTGTCGCATGTGTGATTGGGTATGTGCGCGTATGTCTGTTTGTGTGTGTGTGTGTGTCTGCATTTGTTTCTATGGGTGTGTCTGTGTGTGTGTATCTGTATGTGTGTGGAATGTGCGTGTCTGTGTGGGTATATAGGTATGTATGTGGGTGAATGGGCTGTGTTAATGTGTGTGTGAAGGTTTGTGGGTGTGCTGTGAGTGAGTGAGTGTGTGAAGGTTTGTGGGTGTGCTGTGAGTGAGTGAGTGTGTGAAGGTTTGTGGGTGTGTTTGAGTGTGTGAAGGTTTGTGGGTGTGTTTGAGTGAGTGAGTGAGTGAGTGAAGGAGGGTGGGTGGGTGTGTGTGTGTGCGTGCGTGCATGCATGCATGCATTTCACCACCCATGCTTTTGTGCTTTTTCTTTTTTTCTCTCTTTTTTTTTGATATTCATAATATGCATACGATCATATGAACATAACATGCTTCAAAGATAAAATACAATGACAGTATGAAAGATGAGTGTTTGGGAGGGCCGATTGTAAGATGAGCCTGCATGCCCAATTTGTGACCCGTTGAAAATCAAGTTCATTTGTTTGTTTTGTCCCCATCTTCAGCAGCCAGTAAACAGTACCGTTTCCAAAAGTACCAGTAGCATGTGTGCTTACCCTTTCCAGTAGAGGCCCTCCCTCTCTGTCTGGCACTACAACAAGTCCACATCCCACTCAAACATGCTTGGATCCTAGCAGCTCCATGTTTTGTCCAACTCTCACAGCATCAGCCATCTTATTACATCGCCTTCTTCCATCTCCTTCTCCTCGTCACCCTCTGGTAATTGACTAAGCACTCAGTAACTGCAACAATCATTGTTACTGGGTACAAGTATCTAACCAGTAAATGTTCAAGTATGTTTGTTTGTTCTCTGAAAGCCTCTGGTAATTGACTAAGCACTCAGTAACTGCAACAATCATTGTTACTGGGTACAAGTATATAATCAGTAAATGTTCAAGTATGTTTATTTGTTCTCTGAAAGCCTCTGGTAATTGACTAAGCACTCAGTAACTGCAACAATCATTGTTACTGGGTACAAGTATATAACCAGTAAATGTTCAAGTATGTTTGTTTGTTCTCTGAAAGCCTCTGGTAATTGACTAAGCACTCAGTAACTGCAACAATCATTGTTACTGGGTACAAGTATCTAACCAGTAAATGTTCAAGTATGTTTGTTTGTTCTCTGAAAGCCTCTGGTAATTGACTAAGCACTCAGTAACTGCAACAATCATTGTTACTGGGTACAAGTATATAATCAGTAAATGTTCAAGTATGTGTTATTGTTCTCATGAAAGCCTGTCTGGTAATTGACTAAGCACTCAGTAACTGCAACAAGTACAAGTATATAACCAGTAAATGTTCAAGTATGTTTATTTGTCTCTCTGAAAGCCTCTGGTAATTGACTAAGCACTCAGTAACTGCAAAAAATCATTGTTACTGGGGTACAAGTATCTAACCAGTAATGTTCAAGTATGGTTTGTTTGTTCTCTGAAAGCCTCTGCGTAATTGACTAAGGCAACTCAGTAAACTGCAACAATCATTGTTACTGGTACAAGGTAACCAGTAAATGTGCAAAGTTTAATAGCCTGGGGTAATAACCAGTCAGTAATGCTAACAATCAGTAGTATTAACCATTTTCAAGTATAGTTTTTTTGTTCTCTGAAAGCCTCTGGTAATTGACTAAGCACTCAGTAACTGCAACAATCAGTGTGTACTACTGTGTACAAGTGAATCTAACACAGTAAATGTTCAAGTATGTTTGTTTAGTTCTCTGAAAAGATTCTCTCGGTATCTTGAGCTAAGCACGATCAGTAACTGCAACAATCATTGTTACGTGGGTCCAAGTATCTAACCAGTAAATGTTCAAGTATGTTTGTTTGTTCTCTGAAAGCCTCTGACCTGCAGCAGGCTCTGGTGCTCACAATCTCCACTCCTCACCGTCATCTCATATTTTCACAAAGTTATTAACTGTTCAGGCCTGTAGTGTTTTCATTAAACAATGGGATAGTTCCAACCACGCGTACACACAGCTTGAGTATGCCGTCATATGCCATATGTGTGTTAACTACGCAGTCATCGTCTGTCCTGCATTGCAAGTGACCGGTTTCTGTCAACAAAACTTTGAATATCTAGGCTCTATAATAAACAAAAAAAATGGAAGACTGTTTGCACAGAAATTTAAAAGGATGAATGAGCCAAAAGCAATGACAAATAATTGAACAGCCTTAAAGTCTAATGGTTAAGCACCAGCAAAGCGATAAATATAATTCGAACTTCTGTAGAGGCATGCATCTTCCATGTGGCTACATACAAATGTGAGTTGTGGACCGCTATCTCTCCTCCTTTTAGAAAGAGATTAGTGGGATTCTTTTGAGATTAGAAATGCATATAGGAAAGACTCTCAGAACTATCGTGGACAAAGAAGATAAGAAATACTGACATCTTATAAAGATCTGTACATCCCACAAGACCTCACGGAAGATTGGCTAATAAACAGCATCCTTTCTCGAAACTGGACATATATTTGGTCACATCAAGCCACGACGGATTGCAAAAAAGTTATAGCAGAAGGCACGCGTTGGTACCAGGAAGGAGGGGCAGGGGCCGACCCCAAACACGTAAGATGGCAGAGATATAAGTTGACTCCTTGAGTGTGAAAGTGCATAAGGTGGGAGAACTGGCGAGAGACCGAGTTTCTTTCAGGCAGACTGTGATGAGAGCGATGTTCTGCAAAGGACCTGCTATATGATGATGATGATGAAAAAAAAAAAAAAACAACCTGTCAAAAATATTAAATTACCATTCCTTGAGGCTGGACCATCATGCCTTGTTGCCGGATGCCCTGCATTCCCATCATGCTTTGCTGCTGTGGTATCATCCCTGGGTATACGGGCTGGTTCTGTTGCATGTACACACCACCTGTCAGGAGGACAAATACACAACCGTTAGTCTCTGGCTGTTGGTAGGTTCATGACCCCCACAAGGATGACCACATGGCTACTCTTAAGTGTGCTCCACTGGCATTCCCTCTGTCTACAGCAGCGACTCGCGACCTTCCCAATGCCGTGACCCTTTACAGTTCCCTCATGTTGCGGCGACCCCCAAACAATTATTTTCCTTCATGACTTCAATGAACATGTGTTTTCCGATGGTCTTAGGGTCGCGACTGGGACGTTAAGAACCCTTCGTCCAGGGCTCACACAATTACTTTTTCCTTCATGACTTCAATGAACATGTGTTTTCCTATGGTCTTAGGGTCGCGACTGGGACGTTAAGAACCCTTGGTCAAGAGTCTTAGAAAAAGCTCACATCTTTCAGAACGAGGCTGGTGTATAGACTTTCCTCCTGGTCTGACACTGAAGTATCAACTCTATGAGACCTGTGTTGAAGAACTAAGACTCTGCTCTCCTAAAACTGGAGCAGCATGCAAGAAAGGTATGGGAATTTCACATCTATGGGTTGCCATCACCAGGTCATTATTCAGCACAGCAAATTCCTGCCAGCTGAGAGGAGGCCAAGGCGGGCAATGTTTCCTACAGGCATTCGGTGAGAGCCAATCCCCAGACAAAGTGGCTGACTGTCACTGGACAAATGACCTCCTCATTACTACTTCTTCTTTGTTTACTGGCTGTAAGCTCTGGCAGAATGTCCTGGCTGTTCATCCATTTGGATTTTAGATGCTTTCTGCCAGGGTCTGAGTTTTGCATGCACATCCATTTGACTGGCTTATTTGTGCGCAGCTGGTTGTTCCTTGCCCTTTCGGGCAGATGCACCGACTGTGAAGGAAGTCCCCAGTAGACTCCTATGATATGCTTGCTGGGAAGGCAGTGGGTCTATTCTTGTTTTCCACACAATGGGATCCCGTACCTACACGGGGAACCTCATCATTACAATTTGATCACCAATGTGAGCCAGGTTAAAATAAACTTCTTCAGCCAGCCATCACAATGTGCTCACCCAAACAACCTCTTGTTCTTGTTTGTGTTCAGGAGCTGTCAACTGGCAGAAAGTCCAGGTTATTCTTCCATTTCTGAACTCTGGTCTTGTTCAATGACCTGTGACACCAGTTTTCCATGCACATACATTTTACAGATCTGGTTTGTGTGTGTGTGCAGATTATTGATTCCTTGCCTGTCATGTAGATGCATTCTGATCTCCCCCTCCCCCCAAAAGATCACACCTATCTAGGCCCGCTAAGCTTCTGTTTCTAGGGTGTCCACGGAGAGGTGTCCACAGGTCTGGAGAGGTGTCCACAGGTCTGGAGAGGTGTCCACAGGTCTGGAGAGGTGTCCACAGGTCTGGAGAGGTGTCCACAGGTCTGGAGAGGTGTCCACAGGTCTGGAGAGGTGTACACAGGTCTGGAGAGGTGTCCACAGGTCTGGAGAGGTGTCCACAGGTCTGGAGAGGTGTACGTACACAGGTCTGGAGAGGTGTCCACAGGTCTGGAGAGGTGTACGTACACAGGTCTGGAGAGGTGTACACAGGTCTGGAGAGGTGTACACAGGTCTGGAGAGGTGTACACAGGTCTGGAGAGGTGTCCACAGGTCTGGAGAGGTGTCCACAGGTCTGGAGAGGTGTACACAGGTCTGGAGAGGTGTATGTACACAGGTCTGGAGAGGTGTACACAGGTCTGGAGAGGTGTACACAGGTCTGGAGAGTTGTACACAGGTCTGGAGAGTTGTACACAGGTCTGGAGAGTTGTACACAGGTCTGGAGAGGTGTACACAGGTCTGGAGAGGTGTACACAGGTCTGGAGAGGTGTACACAGGTCTGGAGAGGTGTACACAGGTCTGGAGAGTTGTACACAGGTCTGGAGAGGTGTCCACAGGTCTGGACCAGTATAAGCAGCAAGGATTCTCTTGCATTCTGACAATACAACCAATTCTACACACAAACCTTTCCTGAATTAATTCATTCACATCACATGCTAACCATGTCACTGATATAACCAATGACAGGATCTATAACCAATGACAGGATCTATAACCAATGACAGGATCTATAACCAATTGCTGTGTTACAAATGCATTGATCTGCAGTTTGTAAGCCTATGCTCTCAACCAGGAAAGTATCAAGTGCTTGCCTCATATTTTAACAGACCAATGGTGAAGGTCACACTGGCTGTCTTTACTTGACCACAATATTTCCTGATCTTTTAGATCAGAGTAAATGTGAAATATTTGCCATGATGGGCATTCAAACCCATGATCTCCAGGCAGGTAGTTTAGCAATTGTGCTACCACACTGTCTGTAACAGACACACCTTGCCAACATGAAATTTAATGAATAAAAAAATTTTTAAAAATTCACAAATGTATAACTTATATACGTAAAAAAAAAAATGTTAGCAAAATTCAGCTTGCAAAAAGAGAGACTTAAACAGTAAGCAAAATAAAAAAAAAATAATAAGATGTTAAATGAGAAACACAGCAAGCAAAGCATCAAGTTTTCAACAACAAAGGGTCTCATAAATCACAGCAGACTCAAGAAAATAACACAAATACAATGATAAGATTAACTTAAAGACTAGAATGGGCAAAAAATAACAAGTAGAGCAGAAACAGTCAAAGATTAGGACAGTCAAACCTATCACATGGATGTTGTTTGAGCCCTAGGTGTCTGCCACTGATAAATGATAAAGTCCATGTCACTTTTATATTTGAGCTAGCGTGTTTTCCCTGTCTCAATAATTGCAGTTAAAGAGACATAAGCAATTATTACATTTTTAAAATGATCATTTATGCTGATGAATTAGGCAGACTTGACTAAGGTGTTAAATTGTCTGTTGTATTCAGTAGACATTTATGCAATTTGTTTAGATATTATAGACATTTTGTTACATTAAAGGGCTTTTCTATCAATAGTTCCATGCCAACAGAAAACAAAGATGAAAGTACTCAAAGGAAAAAAAAATTCCCTAGGACCATTTTGAGTAAAAACACACATGCACAGACAAATAAAAGGGAAAACCAGCCCTCAAATCATACTTGCACTGAAATTCAAACAACAACAAATGAAGATGTAAAAGAAAACAATTGTCCATTTTTGACACCATTGCAAGAAACCAGTGCATTCTCAAAAGCCATGCACAGAAATGAAATCTGAAACAAAATCAATGAATCTTTCCCAAGGCCAGTGTTACTATGGTTACCGTAAACTGTAGGTTGTGCCAAACTGTGGCCACTCCAGTTTGGTCCTAAGGGCTGGTCAAAATGTTGCAGCCTGCTTGTTAAGCTTGTGTTAATGGAAAAATCTGGCATCTGTTTTGTGGGAGATGAAAACTGACCAGGTAGCACTGAAGCTGCCATGTTGCTGGAAAACGGAGCTGTGTTCTGTTGGAAGCCATGAAGAGAAGAAGGCTGGCAAAACGCCTGGTACTGGTCAAACTGAGGCTGTGAATTAGATGCAGTCTGTCCAGGCTGTAGTCCAAAATGAAAATGTGGCTGCTGGGTGGTGAAAGTAGATATGGCAGATGTCTGGCTCAATTGCTGTGTGGCTGGAGCACTGAAAACCATGCCTGGTTGGCCTTAACGGTGGCTGCATCTGGCACTGACTAAATGTTGTACCAGAGTTGACGGCCCGATCCTCATAAGCTTGCGAAGAGATGAAAAACACACGTCTTGTACTGGCAGTTACATCTATTGCACTTTATTATCTTAATCTTTGACAATTTTCCTGTGATTGGTGTTTTTTTCTTCACCTCTATCAAATGAATGACTTTCTTCTTGTTAAAATATTTCCTGAATCAATTCTAAATTTACAAGTCTATGAAACATTTCAGCTGCAAAAACTGATGAGGAAGAGTAATTCCAGGTAATATAACAGTTTCACTGATAATGTCTTGAATGGTTTGGTCATTTGAGCTTTTTCAGTATAGGCAGGCATTATTCTAACTCTATGTATCTGAAATATTTGTTACTTGAAATTCGGCGTCGCAGGATCTCAAGTTTTTAGGATGAAATGAATTTATCTAAAGGTTACAAAAAAATGGACTCATGTGACAGGATGACGAATAACGAGTGAAATATATAACAAGTACACACATTTGGTAGGATAGAGTTCAATGCTGCAGTGGATTAGAATGACAGATGACATGTTTTCCTAGTGAAGAGGCAGGGGCTGACCAACAGGTAGATGGACACAGGATATTTGGGCCAGCTTGGACATGAGAATATACCAGGCAGGAAACAGCAATAGATGGAGTGTCTATTCAGTGAGCTGTGATGGGAACAAGGTCTATCATGGACCTGCAACTGACGATTAGATACCAGCGGTTCAGCAAAGAAAGTCGACACTTCACTCTGTCAACAAAATAGCCAGTTATAGAACACTGGTGTTACTGCTGTGGTACTGTGAGGTAAACAATAAAGTGCTACTGCTGAAAGCACTGTCTCTCTCTCTCTCTCTCACACACATATGCAGCTATGCACACACACACAGAGAACTGGTGTTACTGCTGTAGTACAGTGAGGTATACAATAAAGTGCTACTGCTGAAAGCACTGTCTCTCTCTCACACACATATGCAGCTATGCACACACACACACAGAGAACTGGTGTTACTGCTGTAGTACAGTGAGGTATACAATAAAGTGCTACTGCTGAAAGCACTGTCTCTCTCTCTCTCACACACATATGCATACACACACACACAGATAACTGGTGTTAATGCTGTAGTACAGTAAGGTATTAAAAAAAAAAATTAAAGCAACAACTGGTGTTACTGCTGAAAGTACTGTGAGCTACATAAACTTAGTATTACTGCTAAAAATATTGGCAGTTACACAGAACTTGTATTAATGTGAGGTATACAAAAATATGTGTTACTGTCACAGTACTGAGTAGAATACAAAACTGGTGATCACAGATGTAGTACTGGCAGTTATACAAGGTAAGACTATCTGATCTACCTATCACAGGCCAACAAACTTCCCTTGAAAAAGCAGAGTGTAGACAGATACCCATGTTAATGAAGAAACAGGAACATTATTATAATTAATAATAATAATAATAAAAAAGAAATTCAAATAAGATGAAAAAAAAAGCATGTAATAAGACAGGCTGGGTTATCTTTGTGCTATAGAAGAAAGCAGTTACCATAATGCTGGACAGCTGCAAAAGGGTAACCTGAAACATTGTTGGCCATTATATTCAAGCTGACAGAAAATAATATTCAACAGTCGAGTGAATATAACATTCAACAGCCGAGTGAATATAACATTTTACAGTCAAGTGAACATAACAGTAAATGGCCGAGTGAACATAACAGTAAATGGCCGAGTGAACATAACAGTAAATGGCAGAGTGAACATAACAGTAAATGGCCAAGTGAACATAACAGTAAATGGCCGAGTGAACATAACAGTAAATGGCTGAGTAAACATAACAGTAAATGGCCGAGTGAACATAACAGTAAATGGCCGAGTGAACATAACAGTAAATAAGTGAACATAACAGTAAATGGGCGAGTGAAATAACAGTAAACAGTAATGGTCTGATGAAACATAACAGTAAATGGTCGAGTGAACATAACATTCAACAGCCGAGTGAACATAACAGTAAATGGTCGAGTGAACATAACAGTAAATGGTCAAGTTGAACATAACATTAGATGACCGAGTGAACACAACACTGGCATGAATGAATGAATCAATCAAGAATTGACATCACTGCACTCGGGACATTCCCACACGAGCTCCGTCTTCTTCGTCAGTAGCTGACAAAGAGTTGACATGTTAATAGTACCAGTCGCAACCTGATTAAAACTGTACCTAAGTTTTTTCCCCAGTGTTGAATTTCTTCTTACAGAGCCTATATACACCCCCCCCCCCCCCAGTTGAATAAATGTTTAAATGTCTGGATTTTCTGTGAGTCTGACATGACAACATGTGGAGCCATACTGCTCTCAAGTCATCGGAAAGCTGTAAGTTCTGCACCTCCATTCTCATACTGAATGTTGGGATGTTACATGCAGGGCTCTGTTTTCAAACAGTGTCCATTCATTTCTGCAATAAAACCCCACACTCTCTCCTTACCTCTCACTACAGACCCATCTGTGTATCTAATAATGTCACTTGGGTGTAAATGTGCACTGATCAGCTCTTCCACCACTGTCTCTGTTTCACCAGATATTTATTTTCAGTATCCTCAGTCCAATGTGACTGTCTCTCTCTATGTAAGGCTGTTTTGCTGGGGGACACTGTGATCCATTCCTCATCATGGGCTGTGTTGTTAGTGGTACACAAACATTTCTTACAGCGACTTCTGCTTGGTGCCATACACGAGCTGCCTCTTTCTAGCCAATATCCCCTGCTCTCCCCTTAGGCCTCCAGTTAAAAATCATCTCTGTCCATTGTGGCTTTACACTGGAAGTCGACAGAGTATAACTTTCAACATTGAAGTTAAAGTAATGTAAAATTATTCTTCCCCCCCTCCCCCTTTAAAACCTGTTCCCCCTCTCTCGACACTTGTCCTATACAACAACAACAACAAAAAGTACTTTTCTCTGTCAGCTCATCATTCGTCAATAAAAAACTGATACATTTGAACAATTAAACAGAAACAAACCACTCTGTAAATAAAACCTCTCTCTCATGCATGTAATGATTCACGTAACAAAACCTCTCTCTCATGCATGTAATGATTCACGTAATAAAACCTGTGCTACAAGACATTCCATTCCAGTGCACATGTGAACACAAACAGGCACCTAAACTACTGTACTATAAATAAGTCTCAGCAAAACATCCAGCCACCAAAACTGTGCTGCTTCAAGTGTCAAAAATACAGACCACATCAACAACAACAAAACACCTGTGAATGCAGCTACAAGACAGAAGGTATGTGACATCTGGCAACATACACAACATCAAAGTCATCTCAGTGCAATTTTGGCAATTGTCACTTAAGTGCACCTCTTTACGTCTGTTATTTATCACATATGTGAATTTCTACTGCAAACATATCAAAATGAAATATTACTTTTCATGCAACAACAAAATTTTTATTTGCAATTGTAATTTTCTTGAAATAAGAACTTGGTACTTAAGTGACTTTTGCACTGTGCCAAGCTGTTTATCACCGACCTGGTACGTCGTACCAAGGTGTGATTATATACAAGACAAGGGTTATCACCGACCTGGTACGCCGTACATCTGTGGCTGAGAAGTGGTGCCTGCTCCCCCATACAGGGCCATGATGGAGTCTTTAGCAGATGTTTTGACACTCCCTCCTGCTCCGGCGGATTTGTCTTCCCCAAAGAGGTTTCCATCAGAAGCTCCATTCTGTAACAAAGACAAGTCAACACAGTTGACTGATGAAGGATACCAACTGTTGCTGGTAACAATGATGAAGTCACTGGTAGGGAAATGACTTTGTGCTGTTCATATTCAGCAGGTGAGTTTGCGTTTATATATAGGCTGTTCTGTTATGTATTATATGTGTATTATTTAGAGAATAGGAATCATCGTCATCATGTGCCCTGCCAACTGGTGCAGGCACTCATGCATCTCCACAGATCACAATCCCTGGTTGCCTGGAACAGCTCTATTGATGTTTTCCCTCAGTGCCATCGTTTTAGCCTATCCAGCATCATCTCTCTTTGTCTGCCTCGACCCTTTTTTCCAGTGATGGAGTCCAGTCGTAACAATTTTTTCCAATGCCTCTCTTCTTATTACATGGCCAAAGAACAGTGTTTGTCTCCTTCTCATTGTTGTATACAGAGTTCTACTTTCATTAGCTTCTTATAAGCAATCGTTGTTAGTTACTCTGGCCGTCCAAGGTATTCATAACATTCGTCTCAGAAACCACATCTCTGTTGCTTCCAAATTCTTCTTAATTTGTTCACTGACCTTTCAGGATTGGCTGTCATACAGCAGAACAGGTTCGATGTAACATGTTAGCACCCACTTTCTGACATTCAATGAGAGCGACTTATTGCATAAGATATTTGTCATTGTCTGAAATGCTGCCTTGGCTTGACCTATTCTGCTTGTAATCTCTGTCCCACATTTTCCATCTGATGATAGGATTGTTCTCAGATATTTGAATTTATTGTCTTGGTTAAGCCTTTTTCCTTCAATCGAGATATCACTATGTGGTGATATCTTTTTCTTTGATTTAACCATTACCTCCATTTCCCTAATATTCAATGAAAGTCCTTTCTTAGCATTCTTCATCCCACATAATATCCAGCAGATGTTGTAAATCAGTTGCGTCTTCAGTTAGCAACACTGTATTGTCTGCATAACGCAAATTGTTTATCCTTAAACTTATTCCTGCGCTCTCTTAAATTTCCCTCAAAATTACTTTACTATATAGAGAGAAAAGGTCTGAGAATAAAACACATTCCTGTCTTACCCCTTGCTTTATCTGTTCAAAAGTACCCAATCTGTTTCTCACTTTAACTGCTGCTACTTTGTTCCAGCAAATGTTTTTAATATTTCTGAGATCTTTCTTATCTATGTTGATGTCTTCCAACATTTTTATCATCTCCTCATGTTTTAACTTTTTCAAATGCTTTGGTATAATCTATAAAGAACAAACATAAGTCATTGTGTATGTCCATTGATCTTTCTATCAGTGTTTGTAATATGTCTATTGCATTACTTGTGCCTTTACCTTCCATACTGCTCTACACTCATTTCTATTCTTATTTTTCTTATAATTCTAAGTAGTAATTTAGTGACATGATTGTTTAAGTTCACTGTACGAACTTCTTCATATTCAACTGCTCCTGGTCTTTTATGTAATGCAATAAATACAGATTTTATCAGATCACTTGGCATGTACCCAGTGTTATAAATGTCATTCATCAGTTTAGTGAATATTTCTACCCCCAAATTTCCCCCCAGTAATTCTTCTATTCAAATTGCATCAGGCCCAGTTGACTTTTCTTTCTTCATATGTTCAATAGCATCGCTAACTTCTTCCTTTAGTATAGGCAGACCTTGTACATTTCTGTCTTCTGGTAATGTTTCTCTCTTTCCATCATACAACTCTCTTAAGTATTCATTCTATCTAGTTATTAAATCATTGTCCTCCATTAGGATCTCTCCTGCTGTTGACGTCAGACATCCTGTGTCTTAATAGAATAAGAATGGCCCACAAATATTGATGATCTGCAAATGATGAGACTGTTATAACCGCTTGTAAGTTTCCTTTCAAGGATCAGCAGAGTACAAACAAACAGCACAAATGATGAGACTGTTATAACCGCTTGTAAGTTTCCTTTCAAGGATCAGTAGAGTACAAACAGCACAAATGATGAGACTGTTATAACCGCTTGTAAGTTTCCTTTCAAGGATCAGTAGAGTACAAACAGCACAAATGATGAGACTGTTATAACCGCTTGTAAGTTTCCTTTCAAGGACCAGCAGAGTACAAACAAACAGCACAAATGATGAGACTGCACCTGTAATCAACTATTAGTTTAGAAGACAAATCAAGTGATTGGTTCAATGACACAAATCAGAGGACTATTTCAACAACACAAGTTATGCAAACAATTTTAACCAGAGACATCTACTTTTTCTTCTTCGCGTTCACCAGCTGTACACTCTGGCAGAAAGTTATGGTTGTTCGTCCACTTCTGAACTGCAGTCCTGCTCCAGAACCTGAGTGTTGTGTGTGCATCAGTTTTACAGATCTGATTCACTTGAGTGCAGACTGCTGGTTCCTTGCCTCTCCGGCAGATGCACTCTGACTTCAAAGGAAGCTCCCCAATTAGTCGACTCTTACGACTGCAGTGGGTCGATTATTGTTTTCCCCACGATGGGGCCCTGAAACCCAAACGGTGATGACATCTACTGATGACAGCAGGTTTGTCGACAACACAGAGACAGTATCATACCATCAAGTCACTGCTGCTGGATGTCGCAGGGACATTGTCGGTGACCGGCTGTGACATCTGAGGGCCCCCAAACAGATCCAGCAGTTCATTATTCCCGGAGGACGGTGGCGGGGCTGCAGCCTCTAAAGATTGGGAGACAAACAGAGCAACATATTTACCCAGTGCTTTGCTGCAGACACACTTGTGACTTCTGTGATGGTCAACTGTCAGCCAGGCATCTGATCAAACACTGTACTTGGCCAGAGATGTATTGGAGGTCTTTTGTGGTTTTTCTCAACAACTTATCTTGTAGTGTTGTCCTAGTGGGCCAATAGCTATTCTATGGTAAAATATGGGTAGTCATCAAGAGTGCGCTCAGATATTCCCTGGAAAGATGCAGACTCTCTGAGACTCACACAGTGAAGTGGTGCTCTCAAAACACAGTGTCTGTTGCTTTAGAAGATACTGGCCTGCTCTCTTGTCTCGGGGTGCAGAGAAGAATAACAGTTTTAGGGGAGGTGCAGTTTTAGTGACCAGTGGACAATTATAGGGGAGCAGTGTGTAGTTTCTGGGGACTGCGAGACAATTTCAAGTGACTAGGTATGCAGTGGACAGGTTCAGGGAAGGAAGTGATAGGTTCATGTGAAGAATGGACAGTTTCAGGGAAGAACTGGACAAGCTGATGAAAGGATTAGACAGTTTCTGGGAGGAGTGGGAAGTTTCTGGGGAGTGTGACAATTTCATGGCAGCAGTAAACAGTTTTTGAGGGTTTGAGTGCAGAGTAATGTAAATAGCAAGAAACCTGTCTGACTACAAACACCTGGCTCCACTAGGGGGATGTGTTAGGGAGCCAACGATGCTTGACAACTGCAGGTGTAGAGCTGGGCCAGCTACTAGCATGCTTATCGTAAAACTCCACAGATCATGAGGTTATCTGATGTTTTGCAACTCCACCAGGGTCTATGTGCATCATGAGGTTATCTGACTGTTTTATGCAACTCCACGGTTTATCTGACTGTTTATGCAACTCCACAGGTCTCATTGTGCATCATGAGGTTATCTGACTGTTTATGCAACTCCACAGGTCTCATTGTGCATCATGATGTTATCTGACTGTTTATGCAACTCCACAGGTCTCATTGTGCATCATGAGGTTATCTGACTGTTTATGTAACTCCACAGGTCTCATTGTGCATCATGAGGTTATCTGACTGTTTATGTAACTCCACAGGTCTCATTGTGCATCATGATGTTATCTGACTGTTTATGCAACTCCACAGGTCTCATTGTGCATCATGATGTTATCTGACTGTTTATGCAACTCCACAGTTCTCATTGTGCATCATGAGGTTATCTGACTGTTTATGCAACTCCACAGTTCTCATTGTGCATCATGAGGTTATCTGACTGTTTATGCAACCCCACAGGTCTCATTGTGCATCATGATGTTATCTGACTGTTTATGCAACCCCACAGGTCTCATTGTGCATCATGAGGTTATCTGACTGTTTATGCAACTCCACAGGTCTCATTGTGCACCATCAGGTTATCTGACTGTTTATGCAACTCCACAGGTCTCATTGTGCACCATCCTGCATCACAGTCTAAGACTAGCACAGGTGGCCGACATTCTAGGTCTAAACTCTCTGCAGACAAACTACCACCAGACATGTGACTTGACACTGTCAACAATGACAGTTATTCCATTCTACTGTCAGTATACATGCAGCCAACATTCTAGGTCTAAACTCTCTGCAGACAAACTACCACCAGACATGTGACTTGACACTGACAACAATGACAGTTATTCCATTCTACTGTCAGTATACATGCAGCCAACATTCTAGGTCTAAACTCTCTGCAGACAAACTACCACCAGACATGTGACTTGACACTGTCAACAATGACAGTTATTCCATTCTACTGTCAGTATACATGCAGCCAACATTCTAGGTCTAAACTCTCTGCAGACAAACTACCACCAGACATGTGACTTGACACTGTCAACAATGACAGTTATTCCATTCTACTGTCAGTATACATGCAGCCAACATTCTAGGTCTAAACTCTCTGCAGACAAACTACCACCAGACATGTGACTTGACACTGACAACAATGACAGTTATTCCATTCTACTGTCAGTATACATGCAGCCAAGAGCTGTACATGAGAGATTCAAGTGTCACCTATGCTAGCCACCTTATGTTAGATCATTTTTTCACCTCATACTTCTACAACCATTTCAAACTCCAAGAGAAACAAAATCTAGAATGCAAGTTACTCAAGAAGTTTTAATACAGGGCAGGAGATGCTAAGTCAAAAATTGGGGTTCTAAAACTCCCAACACACTGATATATATCAGTGTGTGTATTTCCTATATACCAATTCACTTAAAGCCATGGAAAGTGACCTTTATTGTACAGATAGCCTACTACACGTAGCAGAAGCCCAGACTATGCCTGTCAATTTTAAAAACAAACCAAGACTTTTCCGCAGCACCATTCGGTAGGAAAAACAGAATAGACCCCCCTCACCCGGCAACAAGTCTGCTGCAACAGGTGACTAAATTATGGATGTTTCATTTGAGTTCGTAGTGCATCTGCGTGAGAGGCAAGGAACCAACAGTCTGCACAGAAATTAGCCAGATATTTAAAACAGATGTACATATAAAACAGATGTATGGAGCAAAGTCCATAGGTGGGCAAACTAGCAGAAATGTTCGCCCGGGTTTACAGCTTAGAAGAAACTAAAGCCTTGGGGATGAATATACACAAGAACAGGTTATATTTCATGGAAACATAATTAATCCTACAGAGAGGTTTAGAGGAAAGTGACAAGTTAAACAGATGAGAAAACATTCAATGACACTAGCCTCTTATACAAGTCACACCAGATGGAAGATTTGAAGGCAAGAAAGCAAGCAAGAAGTAAACAGCAATACAAGTGGGTGAATGACAAAATGATAAACAGCAGTCTCAGAGAATGCACAAGCAGGGTCAGAGACAACAAAGAGTGCCACAGACAATCAATAATCAATGCAGAGATGTGTGACCTGTTTGAAGTGTAAACATGCACACTGACATCCAGAAACCCTCATGCAGCAATACTTGATCAAGTATCACACTCTTTCAATAGATTAAACAAAGAGGATTGGAAGCGGAAATAATCATTTCCTTAGCGAAGCTAAATTACATGTGCACAAAATATATTATTACTTGAAGCAAGTAATTTATCAAGCTAAAAAAGCCATTTATTCAAAAGAAGCTGTCAGTTATTCAATGTTTGAAAATCTGGCCATGCACACTTTGTGAGGTTCATTTTGACAGATATCCCCATTTTTCCCTGGTGGTCGATTCAAAGCAATGTTTACAAAACGACTAATTACATTAACAATTCCTGACATAAAGGAAAAAAGTAATAGACAATTTCTCTTCACATGAGAAAAGATTAAATCAATTACGACAAAGTCTATGAGCAAGTGATTAACATGAGGTGGTTAAGAGCCTGAAGTGGTTGAGAGCCTGAGGTGGTTGAGAGTCTGAAGTGGTTGAGAGCCTATGCTCTACTGAGAGCTGAAGAACAAGGGTAATCCACAGAAGATACTGCAGCTGTAGTGCACGGTGTTAGAACATAACTCTTCCTAGGCTATGAGATAGTAGACCAGTTCTCTTCCTCGATGACTCTCCCTCCAAGACAGTCTAAAACTGCCAGGCATCTATTTCTCACGAGGCTTGGTCAGCCCCAGCGCTGTACCGGTCAGACAAAGTCTCTTGTAAAAACATGCAGCATGAAGTTGGAAACAAACACATACATGCACACCCCCCACACACATACATGCACCCCCCCCCCACACACATACATGCACACCCCACACACACATACATGCACACCCCCCACACACATACATGCACACCCCCACACACATACATGCACACTCCACACATACTTGCACACCCCACACATTGGGCAGATGCTCAGAAATATATTTTAAAAAAAATAATGCAGCAAAACTGAAAGATGGTTAGCAGAGTTAAATCAGTTACAAAAGAAAGTTAGTTTTAGAGAGGACCAGAATCCCAAGAAAAGCCTCCACTACAGAAACTTGACAAGCAAAATCCACTTACGGTGAGCATTTGTATGATGTGAACCTAAATCTAGAGCGGGATAACAGTTAATCAGCTAATGTTAACTAATGTAACAATAAGCTAGTGTTAACTATGGGTAACATATTAAATTAGTATTAACTACAGGTAACAGAGAATAAACTTATGTTAACTACAGGTAACAGAATAAACTTATGTTAACTACAGGTAACAGAATAAACTAATGTTAACTACAGGTAACTGAGAATAAACTAATGTTAACTACAGGTAACAGAGAATAAACTTATGTTAACTACAGGTAACAGAATAAACTAATGTTAACTACAGGTAACAGAGAATAAACTTATGTTAAACTATTAACTTAACTACAGGTAACAGAGAGCTAAACTAATGTTAACTACAGGTAACAGAGAATAAACTAATGTTAACTACAGGTAACAGAGAATAATGCCAATACAGGTTACAGAATAACACTGCAGGTAACAGAGAATAAACTTATGTTAACTATTAACTACATGTTTGCAGGTAACAGACAATAATAAGCTAATGTTAATGAATTGATTACTAACAGAGAGACAAGTACATTTCACAGACAATAAACTAATGTTAACTACAGGTAACAGAGAATAAGCCAATGTTAACAGAGGTCACAGAAATAAGCTAACGTGTACAGGTAACAGACAGTGAGTTAATGTTAACTACAGCTAACAGAAAACAAGCTAATGAAAACTGTTAATCTCTCATCATCATGTATCAGGTCCTTTGCAGAAAATCACCCCCCACCACGGTCTGCCTGAAAGAAACTTGGTCTCTCATCAGCTCCATGTCCTTTGCACTGTCATATTCAATAAGTCACTTATATCCTGTGCCCATCTTTGTGTTGCTCACCCCTGCCCCTCCTGCCGGGTACCATACCTTCTGCTGTTATATGTTGACCTTGAGATTATGTTAATCTCTACTCCTGCATAACTGATACAACAAACTAACCACAACTAAGCAGCATTGGTCTGAGACACAGACAGTTTACAGTTGGACAGACAGACAGACACTGCTAGCTGTGCTAAACACAGTACTTTGTCTTCTTCTTCATTTCCTCTGTTATCATTATCGGTGTCCAGGATGATACTTGTAATTTATGTCTCCCTCATCTTTTAGTGTATGGATTGTATGGTATGTCCTGTATGGTATGATTTGTATGGTATGATTTGTATGGTATGCCTTGTATGGTATGGCTTGTATGGTATGCCTTGTATGGTATGTATGTCTTGCATGGTATGGCTTGTATGGTATGTCCTGTATGGTATGTCCTGTATGGTACGTCCTGTATGGTATGTCCTGTATGGTACATCCTGTATGGTACTTCTTGTATGGTATGTCCTGTATGGTACGTCCTGTATGGTACGTCCTGTATGGTATATCCTGTATGGTATGTCCTGTATGGTACATCTTGTATGGTATGTCCTGTATGGTACTTCTTGTATGGTATGTCCTATATGGTATGTACTCCTCTAGGATCCTTTAATGATAAACCTATGTTAAATTACCAAGTTTTTGAGAGAACATGTTGCTCTGGGAGCTCCACTGTGGGGGAGCAAGAACACAGCCTCCCTAACAAGCATGTAGTAAGAGTACACAAATTAGGGGTTTCCTTTAAAGTCAGAGTGCATCTTTTGAGAGGCCAGGAACCAACAGTCTGCCTACAAATAAGCCAGATCTGTAAAACGGATGTGCAGGAAAAACTCAAGTTCTGGAAGTGGACAAACAACCAAAACTTTATGTCAGAGTTTACAGCGAGTGAACAGGAAGAAGAAGAAGATGATCAGTGTCTAGATGACCTGAAGGAGAAAGCATCACCACTGAGAGCTACAAATCAAAGCTTTACAAGTATTCTCAAATAAATCAACAAATTACTGAGACAACACAGCAATGCAGTGCAACAAGCCTGTACCTAATCCTAGAAGGTCATTAGATGCTGAATGTGAGACAGTCTCTGTCCTGGTGGGAACTTTCACTTCAGGTTTGGGTCCTTGTGTGGGTTTAGCAAAGTCTCCTGGTGGTGTAGAGTCGTTAGCTTTACTGGTCAGCTTGGGCACCTGAACATGAGCAAACCAATATTAGTTGCAGCAGCACATACAGGTCAGCAAAGGTTCCTTTCCCATGCCCTCAGGCAAAGAGGGTCAATGGTGCCAGCCTATTGTTCTTCTTCACATTTACGGGCTGTCAACTCTAGTGGGGCAAAGTTCTGGTTGTTCACTGACATCTGGACGTCAGTCTTATTGCAGAGCTTGACTGTTGCATGCACATCCATTTTCCAGATCTGGCTTATTTGTATGCAGACAGCTGGTTCCATGTCTTGGAGGCATATGCACTCAGATTTCACAGGAAACAACGATTAGCACGCTGATGATTTGCTTGTTAGGGAGCCAGTGGCTTTATTTTTGTTTTCCCCACAATTGGGACCTGAATCCAAACTGGGAGCTAGCCCAAATCAGTACAAACCAGTTGCATTCAATGGGAGCATGGTAGTGGAGTGACTTACATTCAAGTGTGCCAGCCGGGTGGGGACTAGTCGAATCCATACTAAAGCAGAACAGTCAAGTTATCCTGGGCTCTGAGGCCAACTAGCCTGGAACTGGGCACCTGAACCTGCTAGAGGAAGATGTCTAATGTGGTTGTAGACATTTCTCCCACCCAGTGCTGATTAGGTTAGGTACAAGACTCTTCTCATATCCTTGCTACACTAGGCATGTGCTGACCACTGGTCTCAGAACACATTAGGCACTAGTGCCCTTTTACCAACAGGCCTTCTGCTGATGAGGGTTAATGTTCGCTACATTTAGTCTATTGTAAATGGAATTGCAACATACTTCATCTGTCTATTGTAAATGGAATTGCAACATACTTCGTCTGTCTATTGTAAATGGAATTGCAACATACTTCGTCGGTCTATTGTAAATGGAATTGCAACATACTTCGTCTGTCTATTGTAAATGGAATCACAACATACTTTGTCTGCCTATTGTAAATGGAATAGCAAGATACTTTGTCTTTTTATTGTAAATGGAATCACAACACATTTTGTCTCGTCTATTGTAAATGGAATAGCAACATATTTTGTCTGTCAATTGTAAATGGAATCGCAACATTCTTTATCAGTCTATTGTAAATGGAATCACAACAGACTTTGTCTGTCTATTGTAAATGGAATCTTAACATTCTTTATCTGTCTATTGTAAATGGAATCGTAACATACTTTGTCTATCTAATGTAAATGGAATCGCAACATTCTTGATCTATCTATTGTAAATGGAATCGCAACACACTTTGTCTGTCTATTGTAAATAGAATCGCAACATACTTTGTCTATTGTAAATGGAATCGCAACACATTTTGTCTGTCTACTGTAAATGGAATCACAACATAAACTGTCTACTGTAAATGGAATCAAACCATCTTTTGTCTGTCTACTGTAAATGGACCTGTAAATCTTACATATACATGATGTTTTTCTGATATTTTTAAGACAGAATGTTAGAGGGCTAAACAGAAACTTTACTATTAAATGAAAGTCAGACATGAACCCTAAGCAGAAAGGTTGCAAACTATCTGAAGCCAACTGGAACAATTCTGTAATCTGTGTTGTCCATGTGTGCCAACAGTTTTCCACCTTTGCATCACAAGACCCATGGGAGTGACGAGAGAAAGGTGAATTTTGAATCACTTATTTATCTGTGCTGCTGTTTTTTATTGTAAGATCCCCCTGCTGAATGGTAAAATACCCTCTGTTGACTCCGGGGCCCCATTGTAGGGAAAACAAAAAAAGACCCACTAACTACCCAACAAGCATGTCGTAAGAGCCTGAGAGGCAAGGAACCAACAATCTGTATACAGATAAGGCAGATGTGTGAAATGGATGTGCACACAACACTCAGGTTCTAGAACAACACTAAAGTCCAGAAGTAGACGAATACCCAGAACTTTCCACCAGAGTTTACAGCCGGTGAACGCAAAGAAGAACAAGAATGTTTAAACAAAAGACAGATTTTTAAAACAAGTTATTCTACACAAAAGCAACATAAAAAATTATGCTGACTAGACAGAAGCCATAGACACAGGCTGGAAACTGCTATTCCATGCTACAATGTTTATCATCTGTTATAACACCTGCCACCTTCTCATCCAGCACTAGGGATGTCTCACAGCAAGCTGTCACTGTCAAGTTCACTGACAGCACAAACACTGTCACTGTCAAGTTCACTGACAGCACAAACACTGTCACTGTCAAGTTCACTGACAGCACAAACACTGTCACTGTCAAGTTCACTGACAGCACAAACACTGTCACTGTCAAGTTCACTGATGGCACAAACACTGTCACTGTCAAGTTCACTGATGGCACAAACACTGTCACTGTCAAGTTCACTGATGGCACAAACACTGTCACTGTCAAGTTCACTGACAGCACAAACACTGTCACTGTCAAGTTCACTGATGGCACAACACTGTCACTGTCAAGTTTCACTGACTGTCACAAACACTGTCACTGTCAAGTTCACTGATAGCACAAACACTGTCACCGTCAAGTTCACTGATAGCACAAACACTGTCACCATCAAGTTCACTGATAGCACAAACACTGTCACCATCAAGTTCACTGACAGCACAAACACTGTCACCATCAGCACAAACACTGTCACTGACTGAGCACAAACACTCCCTGTCAAGTCAAACAATGTCCCTGTCAAGTTTTCACTGTCACTGTCAAGACAGCACAAACACTGTCACTGTCAAGTTCACTGATGGCACAAACACTGTCACTGTCAAGTTCACTGCACAAACACTGTCCCTGTCAAGTTCACCATAAACACTGTCACTGTCAAGTTCACTGACAGCACAAACACTGTCACTGTCAAGTTCACTGACAGCACAAACACTGTCACTGTCAAGTTCACTGAACACTGCATCAAAGCACAAACACTGTCACCATCAAGTTCACTGACTCACCATCAAGTTCACTGACAGCACAAACACTGTCACTTCACTGATGGACTGTCACTGCAGAAACTGATGGCACAAACACTGTTACTGACAAGTTCACTGATGGCAGAAACTAAAAACATGACAAAAAATGTATGAGAAGCACAAACTGCCAGTTAGCATGCCATACTCACATTTGTCAACTGCAGTGGTGTTGTCACAGGTTTGGCTTTAGCCTTTTTCTTGTCTGATTTTGGGTCATCTAACCACTGTGAACAGAGAGTGGTGACTCAAGCACTACACTAAATGTCAAAACATGATATCAATGGTGTTAATACACCCGGGTGAGACACTTAAAACACAAACCAACCGCAATTAATAATCTAACAATATCTTATTCTACAGAAGTTTTAGTTTTCTAGAGTACACAAATGAATACTGCTGTAGATGTCCAGAAATAAAGCCCTAGATTCTACCCCACAACCCTTTCTGTGGGTCAGTGGGGGTGGAGGGTTGATGTCTACAGTTGAGGTATTGTAGTTTTCACTCTCTGGGCATAGAATCAGAGTTAGCTGACAAGGAAATGCCTAAAATCCTTGGAGGAAACTAGTATACCCTCAGCCAGCCTGTGCATGTGGGGCTGAAGTTGGTTACATCTTAATATGACTCTGTACATATGAGGTGCTTCAGAACTAATGCTGCACATCCTAATATGTCTCTGTACATATGAGGTGCTTCAGAACCAATGTTACACATCCTCCTGGTGTCTGGAGAAGGGAAGAGGAATTCTAAAAGAAAGATCATGCAGACACAGTATTGGTAGTTGGTGTTAAAAACAGCCAGCCTACAGCAAACTGAGGGAGACATGTGGGTCCTTTTCAAGGCTTGAATACAAGCGTACTAGACATGTGGCCAAGGTCTTCTGGGAACAAGTTAACAGTGCAGAATCACATACAGACCTTTATGGTGTGAAGAGAATGATGCAGCAGGGAGTGGCTTGGGGATCTGGCTAACAGTGTAAGGAAAGACACAAGAGGACATACAATCATACTGCTACTGGTATCATTCAATCTGGAACTCTGAGCTGAATGCTGAAGACATGAATGGAGAGCTGATAGGAATGCCCTGAGTGCTGCTATCTCAGTTTTTAACCCAATGCACCAAACTCATAGAGATAAAATCAGTGTACCAGGGGATCCACAAATTGATATTTCCCCACAAACTTGCAAAGCATGCACACACAAACACCCCACTCCAGACAATGTCCCATTCATACAAAGCCTATAAACTGACAACAGCTGGTCTACCCCCCCTTCCCCCAACCACACACTCATAAATACCCCAAATGATAATCCAACAGCAGATTTTCTTTGACAAATATGAGCAAGTGTTGGAAACATCATTGTTTATTTGTTGTAGGAGATCAACACCTATAATTAAATTCACTGAACATCAAAGACTGAAATAACTGGGCAATTATAATGAGGATTAAATAATCCAGTGACTCCAGAAAACGGGAGTGTACAACATGAAAGTAGAAACATCAAAATGTTGGGAATGACCAAGAATGAGTTGCACCGAAGGAGTGACTGATACCCTGAGACTTCACATCACATCTTTTCGGCAACAAAGCCATCATTTGTTAACAACCTGGGATGACTTGCAGCACAAAGCAGAATATATACAAACGAAAGAATGACGGCAGTCAATATCTGGAGAGTACTGAAACATACTACTATCAACTAGTACACGGAGCCATCAACAGGAAGACTAAGCACTAGTATGTTAGCCTAGAGTGGTGTGATATAAGTTCTACACAACAGCTGGTTCAACTATCTCTGGTGCATGACAGTCAACAATAACTACAGCAGTTCACCACGGCACCAGCTGTAGGGCTCATTAAACAGGCCTGGCCTGGCAAATGGTGGCAGCTGTGCTACACACAGACTACACATCCTGACTACACAGATCCTACACAGCCACTGATGATTTATTTCAATGAGGTCGACCAATAAAAGCATCCACACAATGTCAAAATATCACTGGACTGACTGATGTGGGGAATAGGCACATTAACCAACAAGCCTCACAGTACAGTGCCCAACACAGATGTGTTTTTGAGATTTTCAGGTGGATTTAGGAAATATGTCTGCCCTATAGATTCATCAAGTGTGCTGCAGTAGTGTAGTCACCAGCACCATGTGGCCAGTTAGCTTTATGAAACAACAAGAGATCCCTGACTGGAAACCACTGTCAAGGATTCTTATATTATAAATCTATACATAAACTATCATGTTAAACACAAAGAACTGTATCTGAGAAACATGTGACCATTAGTAGAACTCAGCTACAAACACATAAACTGTTACAAATATATTAGCTTTGTTACAGACATATTAACTCTGATACTGCAAAACAAAAATATAAAAATTTGAAAAAAAAAAATATAAAAGAACAAAGCCCCAAAGCAGAAGCTCTAAAATATTGCAGCAGAGATGTGTACATATATTAATCAACCCACTGGCTTGTCTTTTCATTGACAATTCTCCAGCGAGTCAGATCAATCTACATGGACTGATTATTAGTCCAAATATGTATTTGAAAGAGAGTTAGCAAATTCCCTAGTGATATCATTGATTGTCTTGTCTTGCTTTAATGTCTCTATGTTTCTCAAACTGTGTTGTTTACTACTTAAACTCTTAATGTGGGTTTCAGTGCGCCATGGCCAGTGAGGGGAGAGACGCTTCATCATAGGGCACTCATGTGAAGTATTTCCTTGAGGCATCAGCCTAAGAGGCCAGCAAAGAACAATAAGCACACAAAGAAGAAAGACCTGTCAAATGGATATGCATAAACTCAAGTCTTAAAACTTCCTAATGTTGTAAGCGGACAGCCAGTGAAAGCTAAGAAGAGCGAGCTAAATGACTGCAAGTTTCAATCTCATTACTAATCCACGTCTATTTGTTTATAATATACAGTGATACCATGGGTCATGAACATAATTCATGCTTTGAATGTTCGGCAACTGAAATTTTCGTGATCGAAAAAAAAATTCTTAACACCACTGTCTCTAAAACTTAGGAAATTGTGTTTGTGGGCCAATTTGTTCATGACCAGAGGCATCTGTAGCTCCAGGTATCACCATATACCATCTGTGACTCGAAGTATCACCATATACCATCTGTGACTCCAGGTATCACCATATACCATCTGTGACTCCAGGTATCACCATATACAACCTGTGACTCCAGGTATCACAATATACCATCTGTGACTCGAGGAATCACCATATACCATCTGTAGCTCCAGGTATCACCATATACCATCTGTGACTCGAAGTATCACCATATACCATCTGTGACTCCAGGTATCACCATATACCATCTGCGACTCCAGGTATCACAATATACCATCTGTGACTCGAGGTACCAGCATATACCATCTGTAGCCTCTAACACTATGTGTGAGGGGAAGTTAAGTCCAACATGATTGTGAGATACTCCCACGTCATTTGTTCATGACCAGAGGCATCTGTGACTCCAGTAGCACGGATAATGTTCATATGACCATCTGTGACTCCAGGTGGTGTCCCATAATAGCCCGCCCCCCATCTGTGTTATCAAAACTCCAGGTTTATTACAGCCATTATACCATCTGTGACTCCAGGTGAGGTACACACCATATACCATCTGTGACTCCAGGTCGCCACGCATATACCATCATGTGACTCTCAGGTCGTATACCCACAACAGCACCATCCATACCATCTGTGACTCCAGGTATTACCATGTCCATACCATCTGTGACTCCAGTGTATAAACGACATGCCGGATTTCATATACGCTACCGGCTCGTCAAAGAAATCTGTGACTCCAGGTATCGCCATATACCATCTGTGACTCCAGTCGAGCGGGAGGCCCATATATCCATCTGTGACCTTGGGTACCAGTATATGCATGCATGGAAGCCTCCTTGGATGTGACTTGAGGTACCAGCATATACTCGACCCACACAAAACAATGCCACAGTCACCCTAGAAATAGGCCTGACGTCTTCCCTTGAGTCGGGTACAAGCTGCCATGAGCAGGGAAATGAAAAATTACACGCAAAACTCAGGTAAAGTGAAAGCCAAAAGTCCAAGTGGACGATTAACCGGGACCTCCCACTGGAATTCACAGCCGGTGATCGATAAAAAAAAATTTAAAAAAACTATTAATTTCAGGGCCTATTTGTTGTGATCTCTGACCTCTCATTCTTTTGCTCAATTCACCTTGTACCAGTCACATACATAAGGCAGAATGGATGGCCATGCCATTAGTGCAGTCAGAATTCACTGCATTTGACTTCTAGTTGTTCCTCGTGTGGGTTCCTGGGCTTCACTTTGAATAGAACCCCCCCCCCCCCCCACCCACAAGCATGTCGTAGAAGGTGACTATAATTAGGGGTGACTCCTTCAAAGTCAGAGGAGTGCATCTCTCTTAGAGGTGGGGAACTAGTTGTCTGCATATAGATAAGCCACATCTGTAAAACGGATGTGCATGCAAAACCCATGTTCTGGCTCAAGACCCAAGTCCAGAGGTGGAAGAACAACCAGAAATTTCTGCTAGAGTTTACAGCCTGTGAAGGCAAACAACATTTCCTGTACTGGCTACTGATGTCTTCACCTCCATACCTTCTAAAACGTGAGTAGTCTTATTTGTCTTCTCTTCCTCCAGTTCAAAGGTGACACAAGGCACCCGTCCAGCAACTAGAGTATTCATTTCAAAACATTGGTTAGTTCACGGCCATGAGCGACTCTCAATGCCATTGTCTTCATATGCTGCTTTTTTTTCTTCATTACCATTGTTGTTAAAGTGAGTGTTCTGAGGTTCTTGGCTAGGATCTCACAGTATCTCATCATGTCCCACAAACATTCTGTATCAGAGCTGCTATAAGCATGTTCACAGTTAACAAATCCAGCACAAACATTTGTCAAAAATCAAAGATAGAAATGAAGATAGAACAGTGACAAGTGGTGCTTTGGCAGACAACATATTAAAATGTTACAAATAATGGTAGTTACAGTTAAAAACACAGCGTATAGAAAGTCAACAAAGTATAAGCCTGTTACATTGTAGACCAGTTGAACAGAATGGGCAAAAGCAGGGGAACAAAATAAAATAAAAGCAGAGGCCAGCACTACAATATTTTCAGAGCAAAAAATTCAGAAAGTATATGTCTGAAAACAACTTACCCGCTCGGCCACAAGCTGAGAAGGATAAACAACGGAATGGAACTTACACAAAAATAGTTCTAATACTTTTAATATGATTATTCCTTCTCCCCCCCCATAACGTAGGTCAGTGAGATAGCACACTTGCTCAGGTAGTAGTAGGATGTGAAGATTGTAAAACGTGAACAACGCCTTTGTCTGGATGAACATCATCAAGATTCCATGTGTAGGTTGTCAGATCCCATTCTATGAGGACAAGAGAAGAGCTCCACCACCCTCTAACTAGCATGTTGTCAAAGGTAACTAATTAAGGTTTTGCCGAGATCAGGTGTGTTGAGCTGAAGGGAGCAGATATCACAGCTTAACATGCCAACCATCTCTTTACGGGTGAAGAAGAAGAGATTGTCAAGTAAACATGCCAGTCTCTGGTGGTCAAACATCCTGATGATTCTGTTCCATCACTGTTTGTTATCAGGGCATAACAGAATCGAGGAATAGACTGCCAGCCCTTTGTGATATATGACATGACAGAAAGAGGATGATGATGACTAATGGCTAGGAACCACTGTCTTTTGGTCCTTGGTCTGGCATTATCTTCTTCACCAATCAATGTCTGCTATGCATCCATTCCAGCAGAGACTTAGTCTTCACTGAGACAAATTGGTTTTGTATGGTAGCTCCTGTGGGGCAGATTGACTTTCTCTGTCTGGACAATTCTAGGCAGTCGTCTTCTATAATATACTCTGCAGTTTGTTCAGGTCTGCCATATTGGTTGTGTAGTTCCTTCTCACTATTTCTGCACTTGAGCATTACACTGCCAGATGGGTATTCAACCTATAGACACATGATGATCATTGAAATATTGGCTGTTCTGGGGACAGAAATGATGATCATTGAAATGTTGGCTGTTCTGGGGACAGAAATGATGATCACTGGAATGTTGGTTGTTCTGGGGATAGAAATGATGATCATTGGAATGTTGGCTGTTCTGGAGACAGACATGATGATCATTGAAATGTTGGCTGTTCTGGGGACAGAAATGATGATCACAGGAATGTTGGCTGTTCTGGGAACAGACAAGATGATCATTGGAATGTTGGCTGTTCTAGGCACCAAGAATGGGGAGAAGTATCTAAAGCTGTTGGGATGTTACAAATATGAACTGGAGACCTCATGTGCATACACTTCATTAAAAAAAATAATGAACACACCCAAAATAAACACAACCATACTTGACCATACAACAAACTATATTCACTAAACTAACAATGAACCAAGGAAATGACACGACTAAATGACAAATCTTACCTCTTTTGGTATCTTTGGTTGTGGGGGTATCCACTCCCGTGCTATATATTTCTTCTGTTCATATTTTGACCTTATAAAAGCTTCCAATGATCTCAGCAAAAAGTCAAGGAAACAATATATTGATGGTTGGGTTGGGTGTCAAACAGGGGGCATTCCGCTACTGGAGACAGTACAGCTGAGGCGAGATGATAGTGTTATGACTGAGGTTGATGTATGATATGGATGAGGTGGGATAGGAGCAGTGCCTCAAGATTGGGGGCAGTATGGCTGTTAGGTGACCATCCCTTAAGATTAGGGGACTGTATTATGGAGAGGCAACAGTATCTTATAACTGGGGGCACAATGACTGCCATACTACAGCAGGTGTCCTATGACTGGGGACACAATGACTGCCACACTACAGCAGGTGTCATATGACTGGGGACACAATGACAGCCACACTACAGCAGGTGTCCTATGACTGGGGACACAATGACAGCCACACTACAGCAGGTGTCCTATGACTGGGGACACAATGACTGCCACACTACAGCAGGTGTCATATGACTGGGGACACAATGACAGCCACACTACAGCAGGTGTCCTATGACTGGGGACACAATGACAGCCACACTACAGCAGGTGTCCTATGACTGGGGACACAATGACAGCCACACTACAGCAGGTGTCCTATGACTGGGGACACAATGACAGCCACACTACAGTAGGTGTCCTATGACTGGGGACACAATGACAGCCATACTACAGCAGGTGTCCTGTGACTGGGGACACAATGACAGCCACACCACAGCAGGTGTCCTATGACTGGGGACACAATGACAGCCACACTACAGCAGGTGTCCTGTGACTGGGGACACAATGACAGCCACACCACAGCAGGTGTCCTATGACTGGGGACACAATGACAGCCATACTACAGCAGGTGTCCTGTGACTGGGGACACAATGACAGCCATACTACAGCAGGTGTCCTGTGACTGGGGACACAATGACAGCCATACTACAGCAGGTGTCCTATGACTGGGGACACAATGACAGCCATACTACAGCAGGTGTCCTATGACTGGGGACACAATGACAGCCATACTACAGCAGGTGTCCTGTGACTGGGGACACAATGACAGCCATACTACAGCAGGTGTCCTATGACTGGGGACACAATGACAGCCACACCACAGCAGGTGTCCTATGACTGGGGACACAATGACAGCCATACTACAGCAGGTGTCCTATGACTGGGGACACAATGACAGCCATACTACAGCAGGTGTCCTATGATAGGGGACACAATGACTGCCATACTACAGCAGGTGTCCTGTGACTGGGGACACAATGACAGCCACACTACAGCAGGTGTCCTGTGACTGGGGACACAATGACAGCCACACCACAGCAGGTGTCCTATGACTGGGGACACAATGACAGCCATACTACAGCAGGTGTCCTATGACTGGGGACACAATGACAGCCATACTACAGCAGGTGTCCTGTGACTGGGGACACAATGACAGCCATACTACAGCAGGTGTCCTATGACTGGGGACACAATGACAGCCACACCACAGCAGGTGTCCTGTGACTGGGGACACAATGACAGCCATACTACAGCAGGTGTCCTATGATAGGGGATACAATGACTGCCATACTACAGCAGGTGTCCTATGACTGGGGACACAATGACAGCCACACTACAGCAGGTGTCCTATGACTGGGGACACAATGACTGCCATACTACAGCAGGTGTCCTGTGACTGGGGACACAATGACAGCCACACTACAGCAGGTATCCTATGACTGGGGACACAATGACTGCCATACTACAGCAGGTGTCCTATGACTGGGGACACAATGACAGCCACACCACAGCAGGTGTCCTGTGACTGGGGACACAATGACAGCCATACTACAGCAGGTGTCCTATGACTGGAACAGACTGGGTTCTAACTTTCAAATCTGAGATTCACCTATTCTTTTCCCTCTTCCCTTTACTCTTGGAATGCCTCGCCACATCAGGGCAGTAAGAGATCTCTGGACTGCATCGCCACATCAGGACAGTAAGAGATCTCTGGACTGCAGCGCCACATCAGGGCAGTAAGAGATCTCTGGAATGGGCCCTTCTGTTCGCTTCGTATAAAGTACTTTTCAATGTCTGATATTTTTGCAGTCCATGTTCTGCTCGGTCGACCTCTGGCTCTGCTACCGCTGTTTTTATAAAGTTCAGTATTAGTTCTGTGCTGACTCTCCTCCTGATATAATCACTCCTAAGTCGATCTTTCCTCATTACACCTAACATAGTACGTAAACATCTCATTTCTGTCGTAAATATTTACCTTTCGTCTTCCGAAGACAGCGTCCATGTTTGACACTGATAGGATAGCATTGGTAAGAATTGAAGACAGCGTCCATGTTTGACACTGATAGGATAGCATTGGTAAGAATTGAAGACAGCGTCTATGTTTGACACTGATAGGATAGCATTGGTAAGAATTACGTGTTCAACAGTGTTCTTTAGGTGTTCATATTCACATACTTGCATTTCAAAATTGGTGCCGTTTGGCTTAAAACTTGATTGGCTTTATTGCATCTTTGCTTTCTTTATTAATTCTTCCGTCTTCTGATAAAATGCTCCCCAGATATGTAAAATCCTTCGACTGCTTCCACTGGTGTTCATCAATTTTGACAATGGTGGTTGTTTCTTTTCTGGAGAAAGTCATCACTTCTGTTTTGTCTAAGTTGATCTTCATAGCGTAGTTGTCACATTCTGAGTGAAGTCTGTGAATATGTTCTTGTAGTTGTTCTGCTGTTGGTGCTATGATTGCTTGGTCATCGGCGAAAAGCAATTAATTTGGTAACTCTCCCATGTTGTCTCCTTCGCTGGTGTTAGCTGAAATTAACATCCACAAAAAAAAAAGCTCATTGGTACGTAACCTGGCCAAGACTGAGTATAACTCACGCAGGGATGGATGGCTGAGGTCAGCTCTTTGTTGACAGCCTTTCCCACATGGGTTTGGGGTTTCTCAAGGCCAACAAATCTCAGCCCGCCCACCCACCACACAAAGACCAAATATGAACTGGAAACATGAGACTAAACAACTTTTGTGTATCGGGGGAAGAAAGCTTTCAGAAAGAAAAAAAGGATACGAATCTGTCTGTGGTCTCCTAAAGCCATCAGGGATGTTAGCTTCATACACCGCTCTTCCTCTACTGTTTCCCATCTCCTGCATCATCTGTCAAACACATTGTCAGTAATCAGTAATCAAATCAACCTGAACTATAACATATCACAACAGACTGACAATAAACAATTATGATATCCCTACACTATAACAATTAATGACATCACACAATAACAGAGTAATTAATGTAGGATAGTCCTCAAGTGACGCTGCTGCATGATCAAGTGTGACATTTCACCACAGACCTTCATACTGAAACAATGACAACTTTGATCAATGGCCAGGTGAAGAAGAAGACGTGTAACAGCCATACTGTCATGGATTCTTCGGCCAGGTGAAGAAGAAGACGTGTAACAGCCATACTGTCATGGATTCTTCAGTCAGATAGTTTAGTGGTGCAGTCAACATCACACTAGCCATTTTTAATACTCAAAATATTTTGGAAGCCCCAGTCGTCTAGACGCTCGCCTGTGGATCAGAAGGTCATGGATCGGTTCCTGACAGGGGCCAGACTTAAAAAATTACTTTGGCTCCCAGGTCGAACCAGCCTTGAGTGGGTACCAAGTGCAGTCTTGGGAAGTAAAGGCGGCTGGTGTGATGCTGACCATATTACCCACCAAGTGCCATTTGGTCTATAAATACAAGTCTAGCCCTATTTATCCAATACCCGTGACAGGCGTGGAGAAGGGTCTTTTACTTCACTTGTTAACTAACTTAATTAGGGTAATTTTCCTTGAAGTTGGAATGCCTCTGCCTGTGAGGCAGGGAACCAACAATTTGCATATAAATAAGCCAGATCTGTAAAACAGATGTGCATGCCAAACTCAAGTTCTGGAACAAGAACAGAAGTGGACAAACATCCAGAACTTTCTGCTGGTGTTTACAGTCAACGACTGTACCCATTTTAGACTGTATCAACCTGAGAGCCCTCGATCAATTATTAAAATTCCCTGATGCTGCTAAAGCTAAAGACTTTAGAAGAATTAAAATGCAGAGAGAATAAAAATAACAATGAATCAAATGTTATATACATGGTTGGTACAACATAAGCAAACAAGACAAAAAAATTACAGACACACAATTAATACCGCAATCTGTTCTGGTGTCCATGTGTCCAAGTTGACAGACTTGACTCTGGAAATGTGGACACCCAAGTTCCGATGTATACCAGCACAGCGTATACACAGGAAAATACCAATGTTCCATGATGCCCATCGAGGTCCTGGACAGGGTGTGAAACATTCATCAATAAAACAGAACAAGAAGAAGCAACACAAATTTAACAGTAATTCAAGAATTTTTAATTAACTAGAGTTAAAAAGTCTTCATTTTTTTCTTTCTTTTATAGCCTTGTGATTTATATCCATTATTCACCCCCAGGGATAGTTATCTACCAAAATAGGGTTACAGTCATCTACCACTACAGGAATACAGTAATCTACCAAAACAGGTATACAGTAATCTACCACTACAGGGAAACAGTCATCTACCACTACAGGAATACAGTCATCTACCTCTACAGGAATACAGTCATCTACCATTACAGGGATACAGTCATCTACCAATACAGGGATACAGACATCTACCTCTACAGGAATACAGTCATCTACCATTACAGGTATACAGTAATCTACCACTACAGGGATACAGACATCTACCAATACAGGGATACAGTCATCTACCTCTACAGGAATACAGTCATCTACCATTACAGGGATACAGTCATCTACCAATACAGGGATACAGACATCTACCTCTACAGGAATACAGTCATCAACCAAAACAGGTATACAGTCATCAACCAAAACAGGTATACAGTAATCTACCACTACAGGGATACAGTAATCTACCACTACAGGGATACAGTCATCTACCACTACAGGAATACAGTCATCTACCACTACAGGAATACAGTCATCAACCAAAACAGGTATACAGTAATCTACCACTACAGGAATACAGTCATCTACCACTACAGGAATACAGTCATCTACCACTACAGGAATACAGTCATCTACCAATACAGGGATACAGTCATCAACCAAAACAGGAATACAGTCATCTACCAATACAGGAATACAGTCATCTACCACTGCAGGGATACAGTCATCTACCAATACAGGGATACAGTCATCTACCACTACAGGAATACAGTCATCTACCAATACAGGGATACAGTCATACAAAACAGGAATACAGGGATACAGACATCTACTAAGACAGGGCCATACAGTCATCTACCAATACAGGGATACAGTCATCTACAAATACAGGGATACAGTCATCTACCAATACAGGGATACAGACATCTACTAAGACAGGGCCATTCACTCACCTACAGGGATACAGTCATCTACAAATACAGGGATACAGTCATACAGCCATCTACCAATACAAGGATACAGACATCTACCAATACAGGGATACAGACATCTACTACAAGGACAGGGTCATCTACCAATACCATCTCACTACCAGTCACTACCAATACAGGAATACAGTCATCTACCAAAACAGGGATACCATTCACGTCATCTACACTACAAATACAGGGATACACAATACAGGGATACAGACATACAGTCATCTACCAATACAGGATACAGACATCTACTAAGACAGGGCCATTCACTCCCCTACAGGGATACAGACATCTACTAAGACAGGGACATTCATTTACCTACAGGGATACAGACATCTACTAAGACAGGGACATTCATTCACCTACAGGGATACAGACATCTACTTAGACAGGGACATATATTTTCCCACCAATACAAGACTACTGTTCTTCTTTCCCTGATGCTGAACAGTCAAGGAAGGGCTGGGATGGAAATATAATCAGTCTGTTACTTGTACCATTAGAATGTGAGCTTTCAGCTTGCTGCTGAATATGGAGACAAGCACTTATGATAGGTCCCAAGTGCTATTATGTGAGTTCTCAACCCATAACTCCTTTTAAAGAAATCTCTCAATTCTGTGCGGCAGTCAATCACTAATAAAGGATCACAGATTCATAATGCAGATGTAGGTCATATAATAATGGAATAACATAGTCAAGTGTCTTCTATTACTATACTAGTGACATAGAAACAATTCACAGACATGATCAGTCTACTAACACAGACAGGGGCACTGTGGTATATAGTATAAGAACTATAAGCAATACAGAATCAGTAATGTTTATAAATTAAATAATTATTTTTTATGTAATCTATTGATATTAAATATTAAACACAACCGACAAGCATAAGAGCACACAAGAATTTTTTAACTAAAAAGACAGTTTGAAGTTAATTATCGAACACTTAACATTTAAAATCAGCATGCAGATTTAGTCGATGCCTTTCCATTTGTATGTTTTAAAATTAAAATAAAATATATAGTTATAGTTATACAATTAAAATATATATTTATGTCAATTATGTCCGAACTGATCTCTTGGTATAAATGATTAAACACAGTTACGTACGGGTATTAACTAAGGATAGTTAGTTTCTGGTAAAACAGCAAAGTTATGCAATGTAGGACTAACAGGGCAGAGGGAACACGAATAATTGTGGTACACACCCACCAAGTGAAAGTGACTGACACAAGTACCTTCCATTAATTACATTAAAATTCATCACAAATTCAAATAGTCGAAATCCGAAATAAGTAGCCACGATATCTCACCTTTAGCATCGCAGTCTACACAATATTTATTGTCTTCGTCTTTCAGTAAAGCTGACAGTATGGCCTGAAACTGTTCCTGTTGTTCCTTAAAGCGTTCCTTCTCTTTGAAAGAAGACATTTCTGTGTGCGGGCGACCAAGTGAGGAAATGTCCGGCTGCTCGGGCAGACGAGAAGGGGAGGTAGACAGATGACTTCCGCCACACCAGTCTCGGGCTTGCCTACGTGTGCATTAGCATTTGTGTTTTTATGTGGGTGTTTACTTTAACACATACTCTTTCATTTCGATTTGTTGGTACCAACGTGCCTGTTTAATGTTTTCAGTTTTTAATTTAAATAAAAAATAATTTCAATTTTTGTGTGACCGGTAAGGGTTTTTATTTTTTGCCCGGATCATCTAACTACAGCCGTCTTGGTAAAATATAGAAGGCATGGTACATGATCTATTTTGGCCCTAGAGAAATTGTTCTTTAGAAGAAGGATGAACATTTACACGAGCATCCGAAATCAAGCGTGTATATGGATCAGAAAAGCGTCAGCGCACGAGATGATGAATGCTGCTGAGGATTACAAAATGTGCAGAAGCATAATCGTCTGCGCCGAAAGGTATTTGATAATGGTGGGGGGAAATGGGAAAAAAAAGGAGGGCGGGGGTGGTTGGCTGGTGATAATAATTAAAGTGGTGATGATGACGCCGATGGTACAACAATTAAAAGACGCCGTTAACAGCAACCTCAGACTACATGTAAAGAAGACAAATAACTTTAACTTCACACCCTGTCAAGTCAGTGTAAATAATGGGCACAACAACCTGCTTGAATGATGACGCGCACGCATGCTTCGGCCACAATAAAAGATGTATTTCATGCCACATCTCTTGCAGTTGACGGCGTAAATGACATTGCGGCTCGTGCAATAGAAGGTTTTACGTATGTGGACAGTGCCATGCAGAAATTCCATACATTTGCCCTGAATCACACAAGAACAAGTCTTGCATAAAGGTTTGTGGCAAGAGACCATGCCGCAGTGGAACTTAGGCACAGGACATAACCGACTCTTGAGCCGAACGTCCTTGAGGTTAAGGTCATGTCTGTAGGCCACTGGAGGAGGTTCAGGTTCGTGCTGGTGGAGGGGTCAGCCCTAAGGATGAAGAGATGCCCGAGGAGAATATCTTTGGCATTCATGTTGTGAGGCTGGTAGGTAAGTATGAAGATAGGTCTGTTGTAGTGACGTTTAGGTTTGGAAACGAGAGCCTCATCACGATGGAAAGACCGTGCTCGGTGAAAGACGGCAGATGAGACGTCTTGGTCTGGGTTTCAGCTTCACTGTAATACTCCCCATACTCGCTCCGTTTCTGTGTTAATGCAAATCAAATGACTTGAGTTGAGTTCAAATCAAATGAAATGTCCCTCACTACCCTATTTGAAAAAGTGGTGAACAAACAAATAGTCCCGGAACAATCCAGAAAATGCGCACGCAGTAAATGCATATGGTAGTTGCTAGAGGCGCTACAGCCAGCAGTGGCCACCAACAATTCCGTTTGACATTGATAGAAGTAGTCGGGCGCGATCAGTTGGCTATATGAACTTAGAATTATTACATATTTCCCTAGCATACACGTTAACAGGCTACCGACCATACTGAATATCACGACACACCCGCTGGACAAATGAAAGACATTCCACGTGAGAAATACACAGCTCACAGGGCTGTACCAAGCACTAAACTCAGTAGCTCAGGCAGCGAAACCGTCGACTTCCGTTCATATGTGGAAACTGCATTAACAAAGCGCTGTAGGAAGCAAAAATAACTCTGAAACCTATCATTCTGCCTTGCCTTATGCACTTTTAGATAAGACATGTTCAGGATAACCTCGAAGCCGGAATGTCAAACATTTCCACGGCCTTATGGTGCAGAAGCTGGGAGAAGGGAATGGAGTCCTTGCAGGAAGAGGCATGAGAGGACGTGTAGAGAAGAAAAGCAGTGGAATAAGTAGGCTTATAGTACCCGAAGTGCTGAGATCTTTAGATCCAATGTGACAGTGAGATCCATAAAATGCACCGACGATGGTGAAATGCTGGAAGTTAATCGAATGCAGGGATGGAAGTTGGAAAAATAAATCAACGAAGTCCTGCAATTCAAGCAGGGTCGTATAGGAGACACCGAGGCAGTCATTGATATACCTCATGTAGAGCTCGGGGAGCCTAACAGTATATGCACCAAGTATCTGATGTTCGAGATAGCACATGAAGAGGCAGGTATAGCTAGATCCTACCTTTGTGCCCATAGCGACGCCGCTGAGATGTCTGAAATAGTGGCCACTGAACTTGAAAGAGTTTAGAGTGAGCACCAACTCGACCAGACATATCAGAGGGTCAGTAGCTATAGCAGGGTTGACTCTACGATCTAGAAAGAACCACAAAGCCTGGAGACCATCAGAATGTGGAATAGAGGTGTAGAGAGAAGTAACATCTAAGGTGAAGATGTTTTAGGTGGAAGAGGAGGTAAACCGAATCAATTGAAAGACAAAGATAGCATGGTTGGTGTCTTTGATATAAGACAGGCGACTAGCCACCCGGGGCAGCAACATCCGGTCGAGGAACTCAGATACGAATTCCTTGGAACAGGCGCAGGCGGACACGATCGGGCTGCCTAGATCGTCAGGATGATGTATCCTGGGAAGCATGCAGAAGGCGGGCTTTCCAAGACAACTTTCCTCGACCCACAGATCGCTGGTCCGGGCAGGTAAACCATCTTCCTTGATAAAGACTGTGACAGTACTTTTAACTATTTTTTTTAAAAGTGTCATCCTGCCTCTTGGGCGTAAAAAAGATGTGTCACTAAGTTGATGGTTCCCTTCCTGCACATATGAATCTGGGGAACTTTCGGGCCAGTAAATCCACATCACTCACCAGAATCCACATCACTCGCCAGAATGAAAGACTTGGGAGTTAAGGTCGCCATAGCAAAAAACGAATCGCACACTTGGCACGTCAGATGACTTGGTAATCAATATAGAGCTACTACTATTAGCCACCGGACGCTGAGGTTCATACTGAGGAGAGGGTCTGAGCAAATACCGACATTTCCGGAGATCAATGATGAACTGAACTGGTTGTTTGGTCACAGCTGATCATTTGTCTATTGTTGCAGTCAAGTGTGTAGGAACAATGTTGCACAGTGGCAAGCACTCATACCTGCACATTTTTAGTTACAGTTCGAGGCGGTATTAATTAACCTTGAGGCGGTATTAATCATTGAATAGAAACGATATCACACCAAACAAAAAGTAAAACCAGGCATCGTCACATTATGACAAACACAAACGACAATTTAACGTTTCAGCTAGAGAGCCTTCAACAGTTCACGACAGGAATTTACAATATAAGGTGTAACTTGTGTTCGTTGAATTGGACTGCCAGGTTGACTGGGCAGTTTAAATGGCCATCAACAGAAAAGTACCCGGGAAGTAAAGTCTGCCAAGATGATATTGAATATATTACTGATTGAGTTCCGCATGCTGAAAATATGAAGCGGGTAAAGCATAGAATATCCAATACACTTCATGGGTGGACAGGTGCTGACCTCAGACAACAATATGGACATCCCTGTCAGGTCCAGATGTCCGCTAATTAGTAACCACCAGGACATTGACATTACTGCGGTCCCACTGAACGGAGCTTCTGCGATCATAATTTAAAATATTTCTGTTCATTTGGGATTTTATCAAATTGATGAATATGTTTTCTTGTTGTATTTGCTTCCTGGTACACAATATTAGAAAATGGCTACATATTTTCACAAGCACTTATTGTAGCTACGAGGCGGCAGTAGTGGTGAGGATGATGGTGATTTTGATGACAAAGGTTGGGGAAGAGAAGGTGAATGAGTAGAAGAAATGGGAGGAGGAGAGGAAAAGGAAAGGGAGGGGGGGGGAGAAGAAGAAGGTGTAGGACGAAAATAATAATAATTGGATGGGAGGAGCAGGAGAAGAAGAAGGAGACGAAGAAGAAGAAGAGCATATCAGTCTGGCATTTAGTCTATTTCTAGATCTGTACATATTGTTTTGTGTGTGTGTGTGGTTAATGTGTTTTATTTGTGTATGTATGTGTGTATGTGTGGGGTAATATGTTTTATTTGTGTATGTATGTGTGTATGTATGTGTGGGGTAATATGTTTTATTTGTGTATGTATGTGTGTATGTGTGTGTGTGTGTGTGTGGTTAATATGTTTTATTTGTGTATGTATGTGTGTGGTTAATATGTTTTAGTTGTGTATGTGTGTGTGTGTGTGGTTAATATGTTTTATTTGTGTATGTGTGTGTGTGTGTGGTTAATATGTTTTTTTGTGTATGTATGTGTGTGTATGTGTGTGTGTGTGGTTATTATGTTTTATTTGTGTATGTGGGTGTGTGTGGTTAATGTTTTATTTGGGTGTGTGTGTGTGTGTGTGTGGTTAATATGTTTTATTTGTGTATGTGTGTGTGTGTGTGGTTAATATGTTTTATTTGTGTATGTGTGTGTGTGTGTGTGTGTGTGTGTATGTGGTTAATATGTTTTATTTGTGTATGTGGGTGTGTGTGGTTAATATGTTTTATATGTGTATGTGGGTGTGTGTGGTTAATATGTTTTATTTGTGTGTGTGTGTGTGTGTGTGTGTGTGGTTAATGTTTTATTTGTGTATGTGTGTGTGTGTGGTTAATGTTTTATTTGTGTATGTGTGTGTGTGTGGTTAATATGTTTTATTTGTGTATGTGTGGTTAATGTTTTATTTGTGTATGTGTGGTTAATGTTTTATTTGTGTATGTGTGTGTGTGTGTGTGTGTGTGGTTAATGTTTTATTTGTGTATGTGTGTGTGTGTGTGTGTGTGTGTGGTTAATATGTTTTATTTGTGTATGTGTGTGTGTGTGGTTAATATGTTTTATTTGTGTATGTGTGTGTGTGTGGTTAATGTTTTATTTGTGTATGTGTGTGTGTGTGTGTGTGTGTGTGGTTAATATGTTTTATTTGTGTATGTGTGTGTGTGTGGTTAATATGTTTTATTTGTGTATGTGTGTGTGTGTGTGTGTGTGTGTGGTTAATATGTTTTATTTGTGTGTGTGTGTGTGTGTGTGGTTAATG